TTTATAGTAATAGTTACAGTAACAATGATAGTAATATAAATAGAATATTAATAGTTATAGTAGTAACAGTGATAGTTATAGTGATAGTAATAGAATAATAAGAGAATACTAGTAATAATAGTCTATAACTTATAGTAACAGTAATAGCAATAGAAATAGTAATAGAAATAGAAGTACTAATATTAATAGTAATAGTTATAGTTATAGTAATAGAATAATAATAGAATACAAGTAATAATAGTTATACTTATACTTATAGTAACAGTAATAGTAATAGAAGTAATAATAGATTTGGAGAGAATCTTCATATACCCTCCATTTCTCCACATGTGCTGACGTGATCCTGACCTGAACCAGACCTGAACCTGACCTGATCCTGACCTGAACCAGACCTGAACCAGACCTGAACCTGACCTGATCCTGACCTGAACCAGACCTGAACCTGACCTGAACCAGACCTGATCCTGATCCTGACCAGAACCAGACCTGAACCTGACCTGAACCAGACCTGATCCTGACCTGAACCAGACCTGATCTTGATCCTGAACCAGACCTGAACACCTGGGGACCCAGATTGTTAGAAGTCAAATGCATTCAGTGGAGATTCCTGAGGCTTCACACCCCTCCAGCACCCACAGCCTTGTTTTTGTTCTGTTCCCTTTGCTAACCAGGCCAACAGGCTTACTTTAACTACTCCACATCCAAGAGGATCACCAGACCAACCAATGCTGACAATCCTGCCAGTGGGAACAAGGTCCTGCTGCTGTCCATCCAGAACCCGCTGTACCCCGTAACCACGGTGAGGCCACTCACACTGTGTCTGTGGGGGGGTCCACAGACTCCTATGGGCTGCCTCTGGTCGAAAGATCTAATGTGTCACGTCTGGGGGAATGTCTGGTGTGTTGTCATGTGTTGATTACCTATTGTGTACACCTGGGGTTCCCCTCCCTCATGTGTTTAAATAGTCCTTGTTTCCCCTGTCCTTTGCCAGTGCGTTTTTGTCTTTCGTCATTGTGAGTTTTCCGTCACCCCTCGCCACGTAAGCTTTGATTTTTGTCACAGCCATGCCATAGTCTTGTTTACTTTTGTGCCATAGCCACGTTTTTGTCATAGCCATGTTTCGTCACAGTTTTGTTAATCTTGATTTGATACTTTGCCATAGCATTGTTTACTTTATTTGATACTTTGTGTTCATAGTCTGGTTAACCTTGCTTTGTTACTTTGCTCATAGTTTTCACAGCCTTGTTTTGAACCATGTCTTCCATCCACTCGTTTTGAGTGCTTTTTGTTCCAATAAACCCCTGTTACTGAATCTCTCCGCGACTGAGTCCTCCCTAAAATCCACCCTCATGACATAATGGAGGAAGGAGAATGTAGGCTGCGCTGATCCTACTGTGTTCTACTGTAGTCTACTGTATTCTACTATAATCTACTGTAGTCTACTGTATTCTACTATAATCTACTGTAGTCTACTGTAGTCTACTATAATCTACTGTAGTCTACTGTAGTCTACTGCTGAAGAACCAGTGAGTTTTGGCCTTCCTTTATCTAGCAGATGACTCCATCACACCATCAGAAGCATCCCAGGCTGACCCAGAAAGGGGAATCAGAACCCCCCCCCCACAAGAACTGAAACCAACCGCAACACACACGTAAACTGTTAAAAGCAAAAGTATTTGAAAAGGGAAACACTGCTGCACCTCCCAAAGCCAAAGACGGAGACCCAACACCAGGTTGACCATGTGGAAACTTCAATGATGGGGATACAGAGGTGGTTTAAAGTAGGGTGGCCATGTTCTGATTTCCAAAAAGAGGACACTCTGCCTCCAGACGGATCCAGACAGGCTTCTCAGATGTTCATGAACATGCTTTATTAGACCTCAATGCTACAAAAAGAACTTGGTAGTAAAACACAATCTGGAACAACCAGGAACTAAATGATAGCCCTCCTTTAAAAGACATCCATCAAATCAAATCATCCTCTAAATATGACCTCTTCTGGATTAGAAAATACAGCTTCTACTAAATCCCTCTGAATACCCTCTGAATGGAAGAAATGAAACACTCTCACTACCATACAAACCCAACAAACAAAAAGATCTACACTAAGTTGAGATTGTTTTACAACACTAAGTATAGACCCTTTTTGTATCTATACACTAAGTAGAGATCCTTTTTTACATCTGGAACACTTCTGTTCTTCTCCCCCTTTGTGTCCAGGATGTGCTGTACACTGTTTGTAACCCCATCGGAAGTGTGCTGAGGATTGTCATCTTCAAGCGAAATGGAATCCAGGCCATGGTGGAGTATCCTTACTGAGGAATGGAGGGATGGGGGGGGGTGTCTTTAACTCATTGACTGCCAGAGTTTTTTTAGCATTTTGACAGATTTTTCAAGAGCCACAGAATAGTTTGTGCTATGACTATGTAAACACCGAACACACCAAAAGAAAGAGTAGACTCTCTTCTTTCATCAGGAAAAAAAATGTGTTTCTACCTTATTCCGTTCTTCCTGGACTTGCGTCTCACCGGCGACATGTTCTCTCATAGAACCGTTCCCTTTTTCTTATTTGCCTACAGTCTATGCTCATCTTCCATCAAAAGTGGCACTGCCCCCTAGAGGGTCAATTTGTTACTACATACTCTGTCTAGAAGCCCATATTTACGGACAAGCTTTAGCAGATCGTCCCCCAGCCACTCTCGCTGAAAAACATAAAAGACCTCTATAGACGTCTTTGACAGTCAACGGTTGTATTTGAATTGACGTCTATAGACGTCTTTGGCAGCTAATGAGTTAAGCCCGCTACCAGCCTAGCGTGCTGCTGAAGGGTTGCTCAGTGTCTTCCCACTCGTCCACCTCCTGCCTGTCTCCAAGAGGGAACCCGGCTATTGCCTGGATCTGGGTCAGATCTCCATCTATTCTGGTTTTCCAGCTCAGCTCGGGCTTTCTGTTACCACTCCTTTGTGCTAAACCGGAGGCTGAACAGAAACCTTTAGCGAGCGACCGTTGTGGTGGGCATGCTGGGTGTTAGTCCTTAACCCGTGTGCTCCAGGTTTGAGTCGGTCCAGAGCGCCCAGAAGGCCAAAGCAGCTCTGAACGGAGCAGATATTTACGCTGGCAGCTGCACGCTGAAGATTGAATATGCAAGGGTAGGAGACAGGGTCAGCCTCCATTAGCTAGCAGCATCCGGATGCTTTTCTGAAGCCATGAAAAATGAGGAAATCTTACATTAAAAGTGTTTGAAAATACAATGGGGAAAATAAGTATTTGAGCCCTTGCTGATTTTGCAGGTTTGCCCACTTACAAAGAATGCTTATTTTTCCTCATCAGATGGTTATCAATTTTTATAATTTCATATGATGTGATTTTCTGGAATTTTCTGTGGGATTCTGTCTTTCACTGTTAGAACGTACATATGATTAAAGTTATAGATCGTTGCATTCTTTGTAAGTGGGCAAACCTGCAAAATCAGCAAGGGCTCAAATACTTATTTCCCCCACTGTATATACGTATATATATATGTACAGACATGTATATATGTATATGCCGCTGTTTTGAAAAAATATATATATTTATGGTGCCATTAACAAAATAATTCCCCTCTCGGATTATTAAAGTATTTCTGATGCTGATTCTGATTAAAAGTGTTTGGAAATAGAAATGCTGCTGGTTAAAGTCATCCGTCGTGGCAGCTGGAGTCTGATGTAAAAGTTGTGTTTTTATTCCATAAAACAGCACTGATCCAAGCTAATTGTCTAAGATGTGTGAGATAAGGTTCCTACGTGTAGAATGCAGCGCATTAAAGTGGATCATGAACCATTTTCCTCTTTGTGCCAACAGCCCACCCGTCTGAATGTCATTAAGAACGATAACGAGAGCTGGGACTACACCAAACCCCACTTGGTCAGAAAAGGTAGGACACGAGCAGCCTGTGGCTTTTTCTGGCGCTTTCCCTGGTTTATTAGATTATTATTATTGTTATTTTTATCAGAAAAGACCCCTCAGACTCAGACTCAGTTTTCCACTCGCATAAATCTGTGTTGTTTGAAGTAAATGAGGCAAATCGAGTCTGATTATGTGTGTTTCTAGTAGCTGGAGTTGTGCGTTTGTTTCAGAACGTGGAAAACGAAGACACAGACAGGCCATTTTGGGCGAGCACCCACTGTCCCACAGCGATGGCTACGGTAAGACCCCCATCAGGATAAAAGAGCCTTTTCTTATCGAGCCCATGCTTAGATAGAGCTGGCTTCCACCTGACTGACCCAGACTAAAGGCTAGAAAAAACAAAGTAAGGGGTTGTATATTCTTAAACCTTTTCAAATGTTAGAGGATAGAAATAGGTTTTAAAACTAAGAAGGTCTATCAGACTCTATATACTCTGTATATCCCATTATATTGTTCCTCTGTGGTGTAATAGGTTATTTATTTGTGTGTTTTATTGTAGAAGCACCAGTTAGCCCTAACGTGTGTGATTTTAGCATGCTAGGGGAAGGTAAAGGGCACTGAGAGTTCCCACTAAAGCCAAAGGAAATTATTCAGAATTTGAAGAAAAAGTGTCAGGGAGGTGGATCTTGAGGGAGGACTCAGTCGGAGATTCAGAAAACAGGGTTTATTGGAACAAAAAACACTCAAAGAGTGGAAGTCCAGACAAAGTTCAAAACAAAACTGGGACAAAACATGGCTATGAGCAAAACAGTAAACAAGGCTGTGAAAAAACTATGAACAAAGTATCAAAGCGATAAGGTTAACAAGGCTGTGGCATGGCTGTGAAAAAACATGACTATGGAACAAAACAAGACTATGGCATGGAGCAAAACCAAAACCTTACGTGGCGAGGGGTGACCAAGATTAACAAGGCTATAACAAAAAGTACTAAAAGTAAACAAGACTATGGAAAAGTATAAAAACAAGATTAACAAGGCTATAACAAAAAGTACTAAAAGTAAACAAGACTATGGAAAAGTATCAAAACAAGATTAACAAGGCTATAACAAAAAATACTAAAAGTAAACAAGACTTTGGCAAAAGTATCAAAACAAGATTAACAAGGCTATGACAAAAAGTACTAAAAGTAAACAAGACTATGGAAAAGTATCAAATCAAGATCAACAAGACTGTGGCAAAGTAAGGCTGTGACAAAGTGAAAAAATCAAAATCTTACGTGGTGGGAACAAGACGAGGAACGAAAGCAAAGGGACACAAAAACCCAAAACTCAAAAATGCACTGGCCCAGGACATGGGAAACGAGGACTATTTAAACACATGAGGGAGGGGAACCCCAGGTGAACACAATAGGTAATCAAGACATGACTGTAAAAAATGGTGCTATTTATGGCACCTGAAAGGACTGTATAAAGGGCTAGTTTGTGGATATATATCAAACGGCACAGGTTGTCCGGCCAGAACAAATGGATAACCCCAATGATGACGCAGACACACTCTTTTAGGAACAAGTCACACTGTGAAGTGTAAACCGTGTGAACCGTGGTTTACTAAAAGTAAGAAACAGACATACAAAATATGAGTTATTTAGAATAAACACAATGCACAATATTAATGAATAAAGTAAAATATATACAAATATATACAAATATACAGGAATGAAATGAATGATAAATGCTGACAGCAAATATCCTTTGAGAGACATAAAGTGCAATTGCCCTCTGCAAGTTGCACGCTAAACTCAATGAAAAACACGGATTGTGTTCTAAAGGGAAAAAGGCGCACTGCCCCTTTAAGAGGAGCGAACGTAACGCTCTGACGTGCCTGCACGCACAGCTGAGCGCTCGGCTCAAGAGGAGCGCTACACTCAAAACAAACACACAGACCTGTGTCGCTACTTCTCCGCTGGAGAAATACACCAAACAACAAGTCTGTAACACTCTGAGTAAACCGTGGCATAGAAAACAATAAGCGCCATTATTAAAGCACACCC